TCAATATATAATCGGTACAGCTTTGTATGTATTTGTATTTATTTATGCTGGCCTCTGTGGGGAATGAGCTAAAATATCTGTTCTGTCGACATATTCTTTAAAAAAAGCCTTAGCAGACCAAAATTCTTTCGATATTATTTTATGAAAAATGCCAAGAGGAACAACAATTTTAAAAAACGATCTACTTTCTGAAAAAGATGAACGAAGTTTGTTACTTTTCAAAAAATATTCAACTTCGATTCCTATAATAAATAATGTCTTCAGTCAAAGTGTCTGGAGCAAACTTTGAGACAAAAACCTCTCCTAAGAGAGGGAGTCGATGAAGTTGCTTCGCTCGTAGGGTTCAAAGAAACTTTTAAAGTTTTACAACTCCTTAGAGTTGGAGTAGATATACTAGCTGCAGAGGAAGGATTAGTAAGACCTACGACAACATCTGCTACGGTAGTTGGGTTTGGCGTACAATAGCAGCATACGAATTCGCTCCACCAGTTTCCACAGTGCAATTAGTAGAAACCGGCGGAGGTAAGCTGACTGAAGCATTTGGAGCATTTGAAGCCACTGGCTTAGCCGACGACTTCTTAGAATGCCGTTTACGCTTCAGTTCAGACACAAGTGGAGAAGACAGTAACTCATCTAATACAGGAAATTTGTCAATATTTGACGAGAAATGCTCAAATAAGTATGCCAGATATCTCTACCTAATTCACTTATTTTAGAAGAAATAAACACCACCTTAGTCTGCTATTTCCTAAATTGAGTGCATCTGCTATTTTTGCATCAATTCATGTGCAAATAACATGTGACCGTTTGAGGCACAACTTACACTCAATTGTCATATCGGAGTCTGTGGGATTGGTACAATTATCATATGAGCAGAACATTTTTGAGATGTTGGAATTTATGAAGCAGTATTTAATCAGCAATAAAATATTTTATTCTATAGACTTAATAATCAATGCCGCGTAACTTTCTTAAAATTGAACAATGACAACTCTGTTTATGAAATAAAAGAAAGAGTAAGACAAAAAGGAAAGAAAAACAAAATAACAACAGCTAGTTCAAAACGGAATAGGGACATTAGTCTGGACCGAACTTTTAATAATCTCCAACTTAGGATTAAAGAAAACACTTATATATAAAACTACCTGAATTCAAGTGTGTTTCACTTTAAACTTCATATACCAGTAAGATCATTTGGATAATGCAGTTAAACTTATCAAGGAACCATAAAGTGAATCAGGCCGTTATATGGGGCCATACCAAAACGGGAACCACTGTAGACAATTGTATACTGCAAGGATTGTCATTTATCAAATCTTCTAAAATGAAAAATATGAAACAATTATGTGAGTAAATGTGACTAGGATTATCAAAATACCGAAATTCGGTGGGTATCGTTATATGTGCGCTATAGGAAAACGTGGAACTAAATATTTAATGTTTGCAACTGAGCTACAACCCATTGTGACATAAAAGTACCAATTTTTAAACAAATCCGCGAAAAATGTGGCAAAAATCATCAAAATACCGAATGTCGAGAGGTACCGTTATATGGGGGCTAACCCAGAATGTAGACCTACATATGAAATGTTCCGTCACACGAGCTACAACCCATTATGACCTACAAATACCATTTTTTAGATAAATCCGTGAAAAAATGTGGCAAAAATCATCAAAATGCCGAATATCGGAAGGTACCGTTATATGGGGGCTGTAAAACGTGGACCTATGTATAATTTTCAATACCAACCATCCTAGACACAATACCAATTGTTCTGCTGTACCTATTTGTGCAACCCATTACGTATTATAAATATCGAATATTAAACAAATCCCATAGAAAATGTGGCTTACATCGTGATAATACCGAATATTCGAAGGTATCGATATATAGGGCCATAGGAAAACGTGTACCAATATAGATAATGCAACAAAACCCAATTCTAAACAATTTCTTTCTTTAAGCAGATCTGATAGAAAATATGGATAGCATAGTCAAAATACCGAATATTCGAAGATAGGAATATATGGGACTGTAGGAAAACATGAAATTTTATATGCAATGTTATACTACAGCACATAGAACCAACCAACCAAATGTCAAAGTATTAGCAATTCTTTTGAGAAATGTGCAAAAAATCAAAATGTCGGGATATAGAGATAAAAGGGCCTATAGGAAACGAGAAAATGCACTCAGTTAAAAAAAATCTTTAAATTATCCCAAGTCAAGCAAATCGGTGAATATGTATGAAAGATGCTTATTCACAGATATAGAGGATGACGACATTGCCGTTAAGTATATGTAGACTACGAAATTTTAAGAAAATGCCTGTTAGAGGATTTAGAAGGAGATATCCTTTTACAGGGTTCGATCATATGATAAAATATAATTAAACAAGTAAATAGGCAGCTAAGTTCCTCTGGGCCGAAATTTAAATATCCTCCACCAGTTAGAAGAAACTTGAAAAATGTAAATGTATGAAGTAGTTAGGCAAATGTTCTGTCATGGGAGGTAGTACCCATTACATACACCATATAACACATTTAAAACAATTCCGATGAAAAGTGTGACACAAATAATCGATATACCAAACAAATCATAAAATTACCGAACCAAGTCATTAGAATAAATACCGAATATTTGAAGGTATATAAGGGGGCTATATGAAGAAATGGGCGTGTTTGTGGGCGTGACATATTAGGTAGTATCCATTAAGAACTCTTAACACCAAATTTGAAGCAATTCCGGTGAAAAGTGTAAAAAAATCATAAAACATCGAATATCTGGAGGTACAGTTATATGAGGGCTATACGAAAATATATCTGCCAGTGAAGACGGCGCACTATGTCGCGAGTTCATATCAAGGGTGACCAAAAATAGAAGGAGTTAGCAGAAGCGGATGAATTTTGGTACAAGTACTTATTATTGGTTTATTATGTCAAACATCAAAGAAAACACATACATAAACAAATAAAGATGACATATTAAGCCAAGAAAATAAAAAAATTGAAATCATATGGTATCATAGCCCTACCTTGTAGCATATTACTTGTCAAACAAAGGATCTGAAGGTGGCAGCTGAAATTCTAGGTAATGATCGGTGGCAAAGCACGCACGGGATCCGGCCTTATAGCTCGTCGGTGGGGGGATTCCATCAACCACCATGTACCCAATGCCATCTTACTACAAGAAACATTTATTTGTAATTGCGTGCTTCTGTCTATGTGAGAGAATAATCAATAGGAACAAAGTGATAGGGAAACAAAAAATGTTTGGAAAAAGAAAAAGCTAGCAACATCATAGTCTGAAAATTGGAGAGAAAATAGAGGAAACGGAAGCAAAGATCTACCAGAATGTTGCGAGCAATATGATGTTGTATCGCTCGACTGCCCTCCCAACCATGTTGCAACAAACAAAATGTCCATAAGAATGTTCTTTGGTTGCAACACCCAAACATCACTACGACAAACTTTACTTACAACAAGGGGAATTAAAACAGATAGATTTTAAATATCTATTCAAACATCATTATAATTTTATTGCTCAAAAATTCAAGAAAGAGTATCATTCGGGTTGACCGATAAAAAAAGAGAAATTAATCGAAAAATAAACATAAAGAAAAATATATCTAATAACAGCTCTTAAATTAGGTTTGAAGAATATGTTTGGAAATAATTAAATTATTGATAAATTAAAATTAAATCAAAAATTAAATTTAAAATCAGATAATGAATTATAACCTGAGTGTTAACCTTTTTCCATCACCATAGGCATTGAAATTTTATAATATCAGAATATACCATTTTTTTAACGCATCACCAAAAATTTAAATATAGATTCACAATAATAAAATTCAATTAATACCATTAGTGATCATAATAATAAAATGTAATATCAAAAAAAATAAATATTTTTTCTGAAATTCATTAAAATAAATTCTGCTTCATTTACCACAATTTAATTTTAAAAAGAGAAAACAATTTAAATTATAATTCAAATTATTATCAGAGACAAAAAATTCAATAATTGAAAACATATGATCACTAATGTTATTGTTAGTCTTTCATATTTCTCTTTATCACCATAAAAATCAAAACAAATAAAGAAGAAGTTCAACTACTTACATGCTTACACTCTCGATATTCCTCTTTGAAAGCGCTTTCTCGGAGATCATCTCAAGCCGCTATAATACTGGTTTTTATAAACTAAGAGAAAGATAAACAGATGTGAGCATTCATATTTAAATAATGTGGTGACGGCACAGAGTGGAATGTTGTATGCATACACGTTGCATTATGTTATACCTAACAAACAGGTTGTGTGGTTCGATGTGTAATATACATGTTGCGTGGTTTGAAGTCAAACATACATGTTGTGTTTGATAAATATTGGAGAATTTAACAACATCAACATTACAAACAGCAAACTAACATACCAAATAGTTCGATATATGATCATAATGATCATTTATGACAAATTCCAATTATAAATATGTAACACTTGTGTGTATATCTTTGGTGACTTCCTTTACCACATTCAACGGGAATATTATGTTTCAATATTCTTTTTTTTTAACACATTGGTTACAAAAAAAATAAATAAATTATTTTTAGGCAATGCTGATGAAGATAGAAATAACACTCAAATTTAACAAAAATAGTTTAAATAAATTAACTTATCATTTTACTTTAACCACATCATGAATTCTCGGTTTCTTTTAGAATTTTGCTTCTTAAAAACAACAACAAATTTTAAAACTGGTATGTTAACAACTCATCCACTTGATAGATTCTTACCGCTTATTTTGCTACTGATTTTTTCCTTTTATAAAATCTTCATTTTTTTATAAATTTTTATAAAAGTTAATATTTAAAGTGTTTTGTACACACGGGAGGATTATTGAAATATAAATATCCTGCAACAGGTGGCTTTCCTCCTTTCAAGGTGTTGTTCAGTTTTTTTTGTGCTATTATTGCTCGCTTCTTCTCCCGGCTGGACGGACAGTTTACTTGTTCACACACTTTAAACAATAGATCGAACAACAGACTGATCGTTAAACAGGAGCAATAGGCAAACCAACAGCGGCGATTGAAAGCAAAGCATAAGAATGTGATATTTTGTCCCAATTTATTTTACTCTGCATACCAGACAAATTTTGACAAGAAATCTAACAAATCAATTAACTGAGAGATTAGGAACGGAATGAAATTGAACGAAGCAAATAAATTATTACCTTTCGATTTATTGGATGAGGAATAATGAAATAAACATCACATCAAGATGAAATAAATTGTATATTTTAACCACCAGGAAATGTACCAATCTCAAGATATTCCTATAGGTTAATAATATATTAAAAACTATCTGGATTTTGACCAAAAAAAAAAATTCTTCCAATTGATATACTCACAGATAAATATTAAATATAATCAGCTTATAACACTAAATTATGATTGAAAAAACTGAAAATTCACAAGCTCACAATCGAATGAAAAATATCCACTGAGTTGCAAAGGTGTTAAGTGTAGGACTATCAGTTGACAAAATGGCAGAGTTTTCTTAATTTTGATAGCATGAAGCTTCTAAAAATTTCGCAAAAATGTCTTCTTTCCAATATGCCGAAGAAAATATTTAGCCATTTTAACTGTAGAAAAACGTCAACTAGATGATAGATATTTTCCATTTTAACACAAAATCGCCTGCAGAGGTCGCACAACAAGGCCGTTAAATATCCACAGATATTTAAAAAAATTAATTTTTTTTTCCCAATGCAAGGAAATATTAGATCTAGGTTGCAAGCGCCTCTACAAACCCCCCAACCAAAATCAGATTTCGGGGGGTAAACCTATCGCCACCAAAGCTGATATCGCTTGCAACACATTTTATTGGCGTATATCCTTTGCGTGGAATACACCTATGAAGTTGCCCTGTAGATCTTCAAGTTCATAGTTACAATTTCCTACTTTTTTACGTATCCTGGCTTTAAGAAAAGTGGGAGCCAACTTGGCATTATAACCTCGGGCAAAGTCACTTTGTCTGAAATTCCTTCGAAATACTTCCTGGCCTTCCGCATATGATACCTCCTTGGATCTGAGATTATAGGTTCTTTGGTTTCTATCAAATTGTTTCCGCATCAGTTCCTTGGCTCTACTACCGACAATAGCAAGGGAATCATCTTTATCAAAATTCACTGTCCTATCTTCCAACAGTTCTAACTGGCGTAAAAGTTTATACGTTTTGCCATTAGTAACCATATTTTGGCCAAAAGTAAGATAGTAAGGGGATGTCCCTATAGCACTATGAACTGTGGATCTCAAAGCGCAACCGATATTGCTTAGCATTCGATCCCAATCTTTTTGGTCAAAAATCTGCTGGAAAAATCTGCTGGTTTCAGAAGTCTTACCAAGTGGAGGCCTAAGGGGCTGGCTAGGGTGTTTAGTCGATTTACAAATGTCACAATTATTTATGTAATTTCTGACATCAATCACCATATTTGGCCAGAAATAATATTTTCTCAACTTGAAAAGTGTTTTATTTACCCCCATGTGAAGATAAGGAATCGTCATGAGATCTTTTCAACAACTCTGGTACCATATCCTTCGGGACCCATAACTTCCAGGATAAATCATCCTTTACTTGGTCGCCTGAAGCATGTTCAGTCCGTCTGTAAATATAGTCATCAATGATTTTCAAATCAGGCATTGTATCCAATGACTTCTTAACCTTGCTTAAAAGCTCTTTATAGCTGACAGATTGAAAATGTGCAGAATCTAAATCAATAAACATTCCATTATCGGTTTCTACATCATCAGCGGATAAAGCTTCAACACTTAATGCAGACAAGTCATCACTGTTGGTCCTAGAAAGGGCATCGGGGACTACGTTTTGGCTACCTTTTCTATGCTGAATAGAGAATTTATACCCCTGAAGTTTCAAGGCCCATCGAGCTAACCGCGTGCTGAGGTCTGTTTGGGACATGAGCCACTTCAGTGATGCATGATCAGTGATCACTGTGAACTCATGTCCTTCCACATACGCTCTAAATTTGTTAATGCTTAACATTGCTGCTAAGCATTCTTGTTCGGTCACCGAATAGTTACGTTGGGCTTGATTGAGTTTCTTTGACATAAAGGCAATAGGAAACTCTTCACCCTCCGCATCCTTCTGGACCAATACACCTCCTATACCAGTGCTACTAGCGTCACAGTGTATAAAAAACGGCTGTGAGAAATCTGGGCTATGTAGTACTGGTGCGGTGCTCAAATGGATCTTTAAAGCCTCAAAGGAATTCTGGGCGTCATCATTCCAGATAAACTTGCGTTTTGTTTTTGTCAAATCAGAAAGAGGAGTAGCAATAGATGCGTAGTCCCGAATGAATTTCCGGTACCAACCCGTCATTCCTAGAAACCGACGTACCTGTTTGACAGATTTAGGAACCGGGAAGTCCGTTATAGCAGATACTTTTTCAGGGTCAGTTCTTATGACCCCGCCACCAACCAAATGGCCTAGATACCTGACCTCCGACACGCAAAAATTGCTCTTCTCCACATTGATGGTAAGACCGGATTCTTTTATTTTGCCTGCAACCAACCTTAGTACCGCGAGATGCCTTTCGAAAGAGTCCGAAACGATCAGCAAATCATCGAGATAGACGAACACTTCTGTCCTGAGAGCCGGTGGGATAACCTTGTCCATTAATCGGGACATGGTCTGAGGGCGTTGCAGAGCCCAAAGGGCATGACCGTATAATGGTACAACGGCCTCCCAGGAACAGTAAATGCTGTCTTTTCTCTTGATTGCGGATCCAATGGAATCTGCCAAAAGGCATCCTTCAGATCTAAGGCGGTAATAAACTCGGCTTTAGGCAACCTACTCAGTATACCATCAATATGGGGGAGAGGATAGGCATCACCACCGGTGACAGAATTTAACTTGCGACTATCCAAGCAAAGTCTATGTTTGCCAGGTTTCCTGTGAAGGACCACTGGAGAGGACCAGGCACTGTTCGACTCCTCTATCACACCCAGTTCTAACATTCTGTCTAGTTCTGCATATATCAGCTTTTCAATTGCCGGAGAAACAGGAAAGTGCCTCTGTTTAACCGGTTTAGCCGTACCAGTATCGATTGAATGTTGAAGAACATGGGTCCTCCCAAGTCCTTGCTTGGAAAAAGAAGGAAACATACTAATAACCTTGTTCAGATGTCGCCTTTGAAAATCGGTTAATTGTATTTGAGGAGCTATTTCAGATACCCATGACATATTATCGGATATGTTATCTTCCGTAAGAAGTCCAGCAGGCAAGAGGTCGAACAAATTCCAAAAGTCCACACCTAAATACAAATCCCTATCAAGGCTAGGAATAATAAAAATGGATATATCTTTTTCAAGACCCTTAAACGAAATTTTTGTATCGACGTATCCTACAACGTCTTGACTATTCCCATCGGCTGTTCTTACGACAGAATTCAACTTTTTATATGGCCTACATGCATCTATATAGTCCTTCGCTACCCGCGAACCAACACAACTTAAAGAAGCCCCTGTATCCATTAGACCTAGCATTTTTTCTCCAAAGAGGATCACCTCTGCGTATGGCCTCACATCAGACGTATTATCGAGGACAGAACAGACAAACCTTTTCTTACAGCTCCTAACTTTCCTCCAGTAGTCACGAATCCTATCAGCTGACCTAGATGGTTTTATTTTAGGTTCCTCATTGAATATTCTGTCTCTAGTTTCCTTATACTCTTTTATGCGCACATGCAATGGTTTCAATATATATGAATTATTTTTGACACTATTTAATAAATTATTTGGCATTTCATTATAATTATGAAGGGAAATATTTGTACAGTTTGGAATGTCTCTATTCAATATTTTTATTCCGCATCCTTTTCTATCATCTTGACTGCACTCATTGGTGCAATCCCATTCTAGTTTTTTGGATTACACTTCTTGCAGTTTGGCTTGTAGGTGTCCGGTGTACCAGAACCGTAGCAAAACACAGTCCTATTGGCCAAACATTCCTGGTAACGATGACCGGATTGACGACAATTCCAACAAATGAAACCTATTGCCGCTATTTGATCAGTTGAATCTGTCAACGACTCTACTTCATTATCTAAAACAACTTCATCTAACTCGGACACTCGCTTGGATATCATATTAGGCTTAGAGAATCCTAAACCATGTTTTCGTCGAACATCTTGCATGAAGAATTCTCTTCGTCTGCAAACATCCCTCAATTCTTGCAAGGATGAAATCTTCAAGTTGAGGATCTCATGCTGTATTTCAGGCAATAAATTACGTCTAAGTATTTCAACCAATAAGCTACCGGAAAGAGGTTCCTTCAATCTATCTGTCAGCTCTACCACCGACTCGTAAAAATTATCAAAGCTTTCACCCTGCTTCTGCTTTCTATCTCTTATTAGCTCTCTGATGTCTACATCTGACCTTGAGTCGCTATACTGTTGTCTCATAGCCTTACATAAACTATTCCAACAAACCGAATCAACTGATCGATGATACCGCCAGAACCAGTCCGCCGCTTTTCCTTCGAATAGAGAACTGGCATTTCGGCATAATAGATCGAAATCGCCTTGAAGTGTTTGTGAGGTTAATGCTTCAATACGATATATAAAATTTTCTACTGATATACTATTTAGGCTACCAGAAAATTTGATTCTCCAATTGGAAATTATGTGCAACACCTTATCAGGTCTGGAGGTCAAATCGGAAGAAGAAGAGTTATTGGAAGTATGAGGACCTGATCTACTTGCATTCAGTTGGGCATGATTTTGGCTCTGCGAGTTATTAAGTGAAATTCCAAACATTTCTCTAAATGTTCGCTCTTCCACAGCAGGTAAGGTGTGCATTTGTCGTGGTGAAGTACTCTGTATAGATGGCTGAACTGGTGCTGGGGAGGTGGATTGACCATTTACATTCAACCTCGAAAACCGTGACTCAATATTGGTCTGAACCAATCTCGATATCTGGTCACTCAAGTTGGCAAATAATTGTGTTTGTTGAGCAGTAACAATGGAAGATATAATGTCCTGTAACTCACTTGGTCTAACGGTTACAGAATTTTCAGGACCAATAGGGGTGGTAAGAGATGTTGGGACAGAGGCTGTATTATCTTCCGATGCCCTGACATGAGTTGTAGAAGTTTTAGCTTGCGCTCTGGTAGTTACTCCTGTGGAACTCGGAGTTGGTGGTTCGGTCAAGAGTCTACAGTTACATAGAGGACAATATGGCCTGAGTTTTTCAGCCTTTGATAGACAGGACTTGTGGAAACTGTGACCACAGTTCGTCCTTATATATTGTGCCTTTGATGCGACCACTAAACTACAAGCTCCACATGTGGGCGGATCAGTGGACACCTCAATATCCTCACATCCTTGTTCTAACGACATTATCAAATTTTATTCAAAACAGGTGAAAACAATATCACTACAAAACCACTACTTTTTCCTTAATGTCTAGGAATAGAAACACCGTGAAATTTTAAAATACAAAACTCCAGAAATGGTTGGTAGTCTTGTTTATACTTGAAAAGAAAAACCTTATGAAGAAGTAGGTGTAGGTATGGTTTTCAAATGTATGTAGTTCAGAAAAAATGAAAGAATTAAAAAAAAAATTTTTAAATATTACAACCTATTCGAAACAAGAAACCACAATATTGCAAAAAATAAATTAATAAAGATTTTCCTCAAAAACAAACTAATCTTTTCCAATTTTTCTTTTGATATTTTACGAAGAAAAATGTAAAACAAACAGCTTAATCTTCTACTAATTTTGGAGAATATTCAAATATAAAAGTAAATTCGAAATATATATTTTCTTTTTTTTTTTGAACAAAATAAATAATAAATATAACGAAATTCGGAGTACCAAAAATCAATTTTATTTCTATCTGTTTGATCCCTATAATAGTAAGCAAAGTCGTCATAGCAAAAACAACATTTGGTAGATATATTAGAATAGAAGAATAGTTTTCATACCTTGGTACAGATACCATTGTCCTGCAAATCTTACAAGGTTGACAAGATTTACCTATTTATCAAACCCTTACGTATATGGACAAATATAGTCTGAAAAAAATATGAATTTGTATTCCGACACAACACCAAGATTGATAAATAGGTACAAACATGTAAAGAGGAGTGAAACATCAAAAACATCGCTTCAGGATAACCACTTGACCTTGAATGAATTCCAATGAATTAAACAACGTTTCTTTAAGAAAATATCACAACTGAAGTCGTGATGAAAAAATAGAAAAACAATTAAAGACACAAAGTATTAGTTGGAACCGAATAAATATAGCAAACGCTAGGTGTTACAAGACATCATTTCATATTCGGGCTCCACGTCTGGGCGCCATTTTTCTGTAGCATATTACTTGTCAAACAAAGGATCTGAAGGTGGCAGCTGAAATTCTAGGTAATGATCGGTGGCAAAGCACGCACGGGATCCGGCCTTATAGCTCGTCGGTGGGGGGATTCCATCAACCACCATGTACCCAATGCCATCTTACTACAAGAAACATTTATTTGTAATTGCGTGCTTCTGTCTATGTGAGAGAATAATCAATAGGAACAAAGTGATAGGGAAACGGAAAATGTTTGGAAAAAGAAAAAGCTAGCAACATCATAGTCTGAAAATTGGAGAGAAAATAGAGGAAACGGAAGCAAAGATCTACCAGAATGTTGCGAGCAATATGATGTTGTATCGCTCGACTGCCCTCCCAACCATGTTGCAACAAACAAAATGTCCATAAGAATGTTCTTTGGTTGCAACACCCAAACATCACTACGACAAACTTTACTTACAACAAGGGGAATTAAAACAGATAGATTTTAAATATCTATTCAAACATCATTATAATTTTATTGCTCAAAAATTCAAGAAAGAGTATCATTCGGGTTGACCGATAAAAAAAGAGAAATTAATCGAAAAATAAACATAAAGAAAAATATATCTAATAACAGCTCTTAAATTAGGTTTGAAGAATATGTTTGGAAATAATTAAATTATTGATAAATTAAAATTAAATCAAAAATTAAATTTAAAATCAGATAATGAATTATAACCTGAGTGTTAACCTTTTTCCATCACCATAGGCATTGAAATTTTATAATATCAGAATATACCATTTTTTTAACGCATCACCAAAAATTTAAATATAGATTCACAATAATAAAATTCAATTAATACCATTAGTGATCATAATAATAAAATGTAATATCAAAAAAAATAAATATTTTTTCTGAAATTCATTAAAATAAATTCTGCTTCATTTACCACAATTTAATTTTAAAAAGAGAAAACAATTTAAATTATAATTCAAATTATTATCAGAGACAAAAAAATTCAATAATTGAAAACATATGATCACTAATGTTATTGTTAGTCTTTCATATTTCTCTTTATCACCATAAAAATCAAAACAAATAAAGAAAAAGTTCAACGACTTACATGCTTACACTCTCGATATTCCTCTTTGAAAGCGCTTTCTCGGAGATCATCTCAAGCCGCTATAATACTGGTTTTTATAAACTAAGAGAAAGATAAACAGATGTGAGCATTCATATTTAAATAATGTGGTGACGGCACAGAGTGGAATGTTGTATGCATACACGTTGCATTATGTTATACCTAACAAACAGGTTGTGTGGTTCGATGTGTAACATACATGTTGCGTGGTTTGAAGTCAAACATACACTTTGTGTTTGATAAATATTGGAGAATTTAACAACATCAACATTACAAACAGCAAACTAACATACCAAATAGTTCGATATATGATCATAATGATCATTTATGACAAATTCCAATTATAAATATGTAACACTTGTGTGTATATCTTTAGTGACTTCCTTTGCCACATTCAACGGGAATATTATGTTTCAATATTCTTTTTTTTTAACACATTGGTTACAAAAAAAATAAATAAATTATTTTTAGGCAATGCTGATGAAGATAGAAATAACACTCAAATTTAACAAAAATAGTTTAAATAAATTAACTTATCATTTTACTTTAACCACATCATGAATTCTCGGTTTCTTTTAGAATTTTGCTTCTTAAAAACAACAACAAATTTTAAAACTGGTATGTTAACAACTCATCCACTTGATAGATTCTTACCGCTTATTTTGCTACTGATTTTTTCCTTTTATAAAATCTTCATTTTTTTATAAATTTTTATAAAAGTTAATATTTAAAGTGTTTTGTACACACGGGAGGATTATTGAAATATAAATATCCTGCAACAGGTGGCTTTCCTCCTTTCAAGGTGTTGTTCAGTTTTTTTTGTGCTATTATTGCTCGCTTCTTCTCCCGTGTGCGGCTGGACGGACAGTTTACTTGTTCACACACTTTAAACAATAGATCGAACAACAGACTGATCGTTAAACAGGAGCAATAGGCAAACCAACAGCGGCGATTGAAAGCAAAGCATAAGAATGTGATATTTTGTCCCAATTTATTTTACTCTGCATACCAGACAAATTTTGACAAGAAATCTAACAAATCAATTAAATGAGAGATTAGGAACGGAATGAAATTGAACGAAGCAAATAAATTATTACCTTTCGATTTATTGGATGAGGAATAATGAAATAAACATCACATCAAGATGAAATAAATTGTATATTTTAACCACCAGGAAATGTACCAATCTCAAGATATTCCTATAGGTTAATAATATATTAAAAACTATCTGGATTTTGACCAAAAAAAAAAAAAATTCTTCCAATTGATATACTCACAGATAAATATTAAATATAATCAGCTTATAACACTAAATTATGATTGAAAAAACTGAAAATTCACAAGCTCACAATCGAATGAAAAATATCCACTGAGTTGCAAAGGTGTTAAGTGTAGGACTATCAGTTGACAAAATGGCAGAGTTTTCTTAATTTTGATAGCATGAAGCTTCTAAAAATTTCGCAAAAATGTCTTCTTTCCAATATGCCGAAGAAAATATTTAGCCATTTTAACTGTAGAAAAACGTCAACTAGATGATAGATATTTTCCATTTTAACACAAAATCGCCTGCAGAGGTCGCACAACAAGGCCGTTAAATATCCACAGATATTTAAAAAAATTAATTTTTTTTTTCCCAATGCAAGGAAATATTAGATCTAGGTTGCAAGCGCCTCTACAACCTTGATATCATTGTACCATGGTATAGCCCTATATAACGTTACATCCCGATATTTGAGATTAAACCACATTTTTTAACATAATTGTTTCATTTTTGGTATTTAGAGATGGTTCTGACTGAAATTTTCGTATGGACAATATACGTGAGCGACATCTTAATGTAGATTTATCAGCTTTCTAGATAAAAATAATAGTTTTCTAAATACTATGTAGAATAAGTATAATTTTCAAAGTTACAGATTCTAAATCAAATGCACCGTACCGAACCAATCTTTTAAACCAATTTCTACTCCTTGTCGGTTAGGGCCTATTCCGATTTGTCACTTTTACCCATTTCCGCAAGATATCATAAGAAATATTACATGTCTCGGTACGTGTAAGTAACATTCGATCAGTATTTACAAATACAAAACAAAAAATCCTAATATCGATTAACTAGTTGGATTCAAATGCTCATACAGTAAAAGCTACTTGACGTATCGGTGCCAAAATTAAGATTCCTTTGTAAATAATATGTTTTCTATCAATTTTCATCATTAAATTTGTACTATAAGGCACTTGCTTTTAACCTTTTTTGGCCACAGATGTGACACTTCGCGGCGTCTCTAAACCAAATTTGAGATAATTTTGTTGAAAAATCAAGCTACAACTCTTGAAATATCGAATTTTTCTGTAAATTTCGTATTTATCACAAAAGATTTCACTGTTAAGAATTGATGACAAAACTGTCAATATATAATCGGGACAGCTTTGTATTTATTCCCCGCACATTTTGAAAACAAATTAGTAAGAAGTTATTTAGTTTTTTGAAATCGATGCTGGCCTCTGTGGGGAATCAAGCTAAAATATCTGTTCTGTCGACATATTCTTTAACAAAAGCCTTAGCAGACCAAAATTCTTTCGATATTATTTTATGAAAAATGTCAAGAGGAACAACAATTTTAAAAAACGATCTACTTTCTGAAAAAGATGAACGAAGTTTGTTACTTTTCAAAAAATATTCAACTTCGATTCCTATAATAAATACTGTCTTCAGTCAAGTGTCTGGCGCAAACTTTGAGAAAAAAAACCTCTCCTAAGAGAGGGAGTCGATGAAGTTGCTTCGCTCGTAGGGTTCAAAGAAACTCTTAAAGTTTTACAACTCCTTAGAGTTGGAGTAGATATACCAGCTGCAGAGGAAGGATTAGTAAGACCTACGACAACATCTGCTACGGTAGTTGGGTTTGGCGTACAATAGCAGCATACGAATTCGCTCCACCAGTTTCCACAGTGCAATTAGTAGAAACCGGCGGAGGTAAGCTGACTGAAGCATTTGGAGCATTTGAAGAGACTGGCTAGCCGACGACTTCTTAGAATGCCGTTTACGCTTCAGTTCAGACACAAGTGGAGAAGACAGTAACTCATCTAATACAGGAAATTTGTCAAATATTGAATTAAAACGAGAAATGCTCAAATAAGTATGCCAGATATCTCTACCTAATTCACTTATTTTAGAAGAAATAAACACCACCTTAGTCCTCTATTTCCTAAATTGAGTGCATCTGCTATTTTTGCATCAATTCATGTGCAAATAACATGTGACCGTTTGAGGCACAACCTACACTCAATTGTCATATCGGAGTCTGTGGGATTGGTACAATTATCATATGAGCAGAACATTTTTGAGATGTTGGAATTTATGAAGCAGTATTTAATCAGCAATAAAATATTTTATTCTATAGACTTAATAATCAATGCCGCGTAACTTTCTTAAAATTGAACAATGACAACTCTGTTTATGAAATAAAAGAAAGAGTAAGACAAAAAGGAAAGAAAAACAAAATAACAACAGCTAGTTCAAAACGGAATAGGGAAATTAGTCTGGACCGAACTTTTAATAATCTCCAACTTAGGATTAAAGAAAACACTAATATATAAAACTATCTGAATTCAAGTGTGTTTCACTTTAAACTTCATATACCAGTAAGATCATTTGGATAATGCAGTTAAACTTATCAAGGAACCATAAAGTGAATCAGGCCGTTATATGGGGCCATACCAAAACGGGAACCACTGTAGACTTCTTCAAGGATTGTCATTTATCAAATCTTCTAAAATAAAAAATATGAAACAATTATGTGAGTAAATGTGACTAGGATTATCAAAATACCGAAATTCGGTGGGTATCGTTATATGTGCGCTATAGGAAAACGTGGAACTAAATATTTAATGTTTGCAACTGAGCTACAACCCATTGTGACATAAAAGTACCAATTTTTAAACAAATCCGCGAAAAATGTGGCAAAAATCATCAAAATACCGAATGTCGAGAGGTACCGTTATATGGGGGCTAACCCAGAATGTAGACCTACATATGAAATGTTCCGTCACACGAGCTACAACCCATTATGACCTACAAATACCATTTTTTAGATAAATCCGTGAAAAAATGTGGCAAAAATCATCAAAATGCCGAATATCGGAAGGTACCGTTATATGGGGGCTGTAAAACGTGGACCTATGTATAATTTTCAATACCAACCATCCTAGACACAATACCAATTGTTCTGCTGTACCTATTTGTGTAACCCATTACGTATTATAAATATCGAATATTAAACAAATCCCATAGAAAATGTGGCTTACATCGTGATAATACCGAATATTCGAAGGTATCGATATATAGGGCCATAGGAAAACGTGTACCAATATAGATAATGCAACAAAACCCAATTCTAAACAATTTCTTTCTTTAAGCAGATCTGATAGAAAATATGGATAGCATAGTCAAAATACCGAATATTCGAAGATACGAATATATGGGACTGTAGGAAAACATGAAATTTTATATGCAATGTTATACTACAGCACATAGAACCAACCAACCAAATGTCAAAGTATTAGCAATTCTGTTGAGAAATGTGCAAAAAATCAAAATGTCGGGATATAGAGATAAAAGGGCCTATAGGAAACGAGAAAATGCATTCAGTTAAAAAAAAAATCTTTAAATTATCCCAAGTCAAGCAAATCGGTGAATATGTATGAAAGATGCTTATTCACAGATATAGAGGATGACGACATTGCCGTTAAGTATATGTAGACTACGAAATTTTAAGAAAATGCCTGTTAGAGGATTTAGAAGGAGATATCCTTTTACAGGGTTCGATCATATGATAAAATATAATTAAACAAGTAAATAGGCAGCTAAGTTCCTCTGGGCCGAAATTTAAATATCCTCCACCAGTTAGAAGAAACTTGAAAAATGTAAATGTATGAAGTAGTTAGGCAAATGTTCTGTCATGGGAGGTAGTACCCATTATGGGAGGTAGTACACCATATAATACATTTAAAACAATTCCGATGAAAAGTGTGACACAAATAATCGATATATCAAACAAATCATAAAATTACCGAACCAAGTCATTAGAATAAATACCGAATATTTGAAGGTATATAAGGGGGTTATATGAAGAAGTGGGCGTGGCATATTAGGTAGTATCCATTACGAACTTTTAACACCAAATTTGAAGCAATTCCGGTGAAAAGTGTAAAAAAAATCATAAAACATCGAATATCTGGAGGCACAGTTATATGGGGGCTATACGAAAATATATCTGCCAGTGAAGACGGCGCACTATGTCGCGAGTTCATATCAAGGGTGACCAAAAATAGAAGGAGTTAGCAGAATCGGATGAATTTTGGTACAAGTACTTATTATTGGTTTATTATGTCAAACATCAAAGAAAACACATACATAAACAAATAAAGATGACATATTAAGCCAAGAAAATAAAAAAAATTGAAATCATATGGTATCATAGCCCTACCTTGATATCATTGTACCATGGTATAGCCCTATATAACGTTACATCCCGATATTTGAGATTAAACCACATTTTTTAACATAATTGTTTCATTTTTGGTATTTAGAGATGGTTCTGACTGAAATTTTCGTATGGACAATATACGTGAGCGACATCTTAATGTAGATTTATCAGCTTTCTAGATAAAAATAATAGTTTTCTAAATACTATGTAGAATAAGTATAATTTTCAAAGTTACAGATTCTAAATCAAATGCACCGTACCGAACCAATCTTTTAAACCAATTTCTACTCCTTGTCGGTTAGGGCCTATTCCGATTTGTCACTTTTACCCATTTCCGCAAGATATCATAAGAAATATTACATGTCTCGGTACGTGTAAGTAACATTCGATCAGTATTTACAAAAAACAAAACAAAAAAAATCCTAATATCGATTAACTAGTTGGATTCAAATGCTCATACAGTAAAAGCTACTTGACGTATCGGTGCCAAAATTAAGATTCCTTTGTAAATAATATGTTTTCTATCAATTTTCATCATTAAATTTGTACTATAAGGCACTTGCTTTTAACCTTTTTTGGCCACAGATGTGACACTTCGCGGCGTCTCTAAACCAAATTTGAGATAATTTTGTTGAAAAATCAAGCTAAAATTCTTGAAATATCGAATTTTTCTGTAAATTTCGTATTTATCACAAAAGATTTCACTGTTAAGAATTGATGACAAAACTGTCAATATATAATCGGTACAGCTTTGTATTTATTCCCCGCACATTTTGAAAACAAATTAGTAAGAAGTTATTTAGTTTTTTGAAATCGATGCTGGCCTCTGTGGGGAATGAGCTAAAATATCTGTTCTGTCGACATATTCTTTAACAAAAGCCTTAGCAGACCAAAATTCTTTCGATATTATTTTATGAAAAATGTCAAGAGGAACAACAATTTTAAAAAACGATCTACTTTCTGAAAAAGATGAACGAAGTTTGTTACTTTTCAAAAAATATTCAACTTCGATTCCTATAATAAATACTGTCTTCAGTCAAAGTGTCTGGCGCAAACTTTGAGAAAAAAAAACCTCTCC